ATGAAAACAAAGCTACATATAAGGTCCGTTAGAGGACACTAAAGCAGCAACGATTAAAATGTCAAGATTACTTGCATGCCAGTCAGCTCAACTTCATTCCTCACTTTGGGCAAACAACATCCTCAGGTAATTACAGAGTAGTGACTTGCTGACAACAATTTGATGAAAAACATCTGGTTAAAAAACAAAACAAAACGAAACAGAAACACTGAAGAATTCCTAGGTCTATATAGTAGTATGTTGTAGCTGAGGATGTGTCCTCACGTCACTAGAAATTATAGTTATATACAGTTGGATTTCGAAAAACTCTTGAGAGAGGGAGAAGTGCTAACCTAAGTTTATGCAAAATGGCTGGATCTGCAATGAAGGTAACAAGCATAGTTCCGAATATTCTTTTCTTGTTTGAGAAACTGTTGTAACATACTGAATCACGCTGTGGTAGCCTTTATACTGTCAAATTCTTTCTAGGAAAGGTTATATGCCAGTCTCTGTTTACATTCTCAGTTAGACTCTCCTGTAGACATATGAAGCTCTTCTTTATATGAATTCATGCTGAAATATTTTACTGATTAAAACTGATTACTAATTTAAAAACTAAGATTTTATATACTTTTGAAAAAAAAGGTGCCCTAAACTGACAATAGGGTGGAAGGCAGGCTGGTAGCCCGAGTCAGTGAGGAACTTGAACTCTTGGTGTGAGACTGCTGACTACGAAAGCATGGCATGTTACTGATTGCTTAAATCTGCCTATCTGCAGGGTGTGAATGGAGTGCAAAACTGGCCTGGATGTTAAATCGGAAAACTCACTAACAGGCTTGCAGAAAAATCTCATTATTTTTGGCAATTTGTTATTAATTCTTGAAGGACGTGTGCTTGCCGTTTTGTTCCTATTATATATATTAAGGTTGCTTTAACCGAAGATTTAAAAATCAATTCTTTTCATCCACAAGAGGGTCTAGTACTTCCTGAAACACTCAAGATTACTTGCTTTAAACCAAGTTTTCAAGTAACTAGAATGTGTATTTTTTTATTTTTTCTTTTAATCAAATGTTCTTTTGATGGTGAACTATTTTTTGCCTGGAGTTCAGTCAGTGAAGTTGAAAGATAAATAAACATTGTATAACCATTGATACACATGGGTAAATATATGGAAGACACAACGAATGGTACACAATTAGCCTTAATTCTGGCAATTTCCAAGAAAAAGTACTTGAAGTTAGCAACTTCAGCATTCTTTAAACAATTCTTGTTTAGTTTCCTTTTCTGTATGTCCTAACATCCTGTTTGCTTTTTAATTTGTTACTGCCTTTACTGTTCATGTCTTTATTGAACTGTAGCTGTCGTTCTCCCGTATCTTTGATACAGATAATCAAAACCCCTGTAGTTTGTACTGGTAGTCCTAGTGAGGACTTCAAACCCAGCAGTGTTAGTTTGCATGTATTAACGTTAAAGCCCCTGTCAGTACTCATTCGGATAAAACCAGTAAAACTGTAAAGTCCATTTTATAGCAGAGTGCTTTCACTTAGTATGAGTTGGGGCTGTACATATGGAATTATAATCTATTTTGGGAAATAGTCTTGGGTTACCAGTTGGTAGCATAGTTAAATTAAAACTTATAAGACTAGCTTTAAGAAGTCTCTGAATAGATGATGAAACTGAAATGCCTGCTTTCTTGCTAATACATCCAGCAGGCTGCAGTTAGAATGAGTTGTTCTGCTTCTTGGACTGTGCCAAAGAAAGCTTGCTAAATGTTTGTGCTAAAGCACTCCTTTCTGTATGAAGCTGTTTTCTTTCTAGTTTATCGCCCCTGCCATCTGTAGCGCTCTCTCGATTTGCTTTTGTTCTTTCCTATGATTAACCAACCTATTGTTGGTATATCTTGTTTTTTTCTCTTTTTCTGCCACCTAGGAGAATGATAATGAAGAGAACTGTTGAGAGGTGACAGATCCCTGTCTAAGTTGTAATGTGACCTGGCCTAAATCTATTTTCTGTCAGTCTCGCCCTTTATTGTCCCAGCTGTCTTCAGAAAGAACCTGGAAGATATTCAAGAACCTTGAGGAGTATTCCTTTATTTAGATATATCTGAAACTTAACAAAATTCTGTAGTTGCAGGTTTGTTTCTCAAATATTCTCTCAGTAAGCTTACTTTCCTCTCCTTACTGTGAGTGTTGAAAAAAGGAGGGGGAAAAAAGGCAGGGTAAACCATAATAGCAACCTGTGAACTCTACTAGAGAAGAATGGCTCTGTACTGCAGTACAGAAAATCTTGCCTTTCTGATTCAGTGTTACTTGCTCACAGGAATAGAGACCTCTTTTCAGTTTGTTTCCTCTGAAGACCTAATTGGTTTTCTTTCAGGAACGTATCCATGCGGTGTAGGAGTGCGTTCTTCTATGTTCCATTACTCTGAAGTAATAGTCAGTGGAAAGATGTTGAAGTTAATGGCTTCTGCTGTTTCTTCATCTTCCTGTATGCTTCCCAAGAACTACTTTTGTGAAAGCTGTCGTAATTTTCTTGGTTCCAGTGTATTATCCAGTGCTTTAGCCTGCAAAATATAAAAGCCTTCCAAAGCAAATTTTATCTTAAGGTAACATTTTTTTTTTTTCTGAGTTAGTTTTGCCATAAGGCTTGTATTCTTCTGAAAGTGAATATAGCTTAGGAAGAATTAGCTGGAATGTCCTTTTTGAGCAAATGATTGCTAGAAAGAAAACTGTAGATTTGGCTATGTGACCTACTTGGAAGATGAGAGTCTTTTGGCCACCCTTTTTGTCTAGAACTTTGAGTCCAAATGAGAATGTTTCAGACAAAAAAAGTGAGTTTGAGAAAATATTAGGGAACTGAAAAGCCTTGTAAGATAAAAGAAACTTCAACCATGTTATCAGGAGTTGCTTAATTTTTTACTAAAGTACATTTTTATTGAATCAAAAATAGATGCATATGTTTAAAAGAAGTAGCAATTAGATGACAGTGCCATTTAGATTTTCTCTTTTCACTCTGTCTATTTCTGTCTTTTGGTACCTTCTCTTAGTCGTGTCTAAGTTGGACAATAGACATTTTAATTATATATTGCTATTTATTCTATAAAACATCCTATGCACATTTTGTGGACTATAATAGCAAAAGATTAGCTGGCATCTTAAAGGTGCAGTAAGCAAAGGGAAGCCTAAACATACTATTTATATGTTGCAAACAGTAATGGAATGCAGAAGCAGGTAAGAGCTTCCTTTAATTTCGTAATGAGGGTTACTCCCTTTTAGATGTATTCATTAAAGGGGATTATTTATTAAAGGGGAATATAGAAAACAAATCTTCAAAACTCATGGGCCTGTTCATATTGCTGTTTAATGGCCCATGTGCGCCTCCCATTTCCTCATTAAATTCTCAGCTAGGATAAACTGTATATTTGGGAGCCATCTCTTCCTCTGTTGTAGGTGAAGAGGCAATTTGCTAATTTGAGAAAATTGATCAAGCTGCCGTATGTTCCTGTTGAGTTGCAACCTCCATTGATCATGTCAATTCCAGTATCCTCTTTACCTAGGAAGAGAAGAGGAAGACTTCTGACTGCATTTGTTTATCCTGATTTTCAAATGATCGTGTTGTTTCATGGTTCTCAGTACTTGGAAAGCATTAATTTCACTAGTCATCATTCACTGATACATGCATAGGCTTTTACTTTTGTTTGGAAATTTTTTTGTCTGTCCACTCCTAAGCATTCCCTGTGGAAATCATGGAACATCTGAAATATTTGTGTTTCATCAAATCGCACAACACCCTGTCAAGTTAAATTCATGTTCACCTATCATTTGTTCACATTTTTATTTTGCCTGTTGCCGTTACAAAGGATTTAGAAATATCCGAGAAGTAGACTAGAATATTATTATTAAACTATGTTTTCCAATGAATTAGCAATTACATAGAGGGCATTGTACGTTTTTGCTTTTAAAAATCATCCCTCTTAGAAATGGGGTAAGTAGAAATTCAAAGGTAGATCCTGGACAATCACTTAAAAACCTTCTGTTTGTGGTTTGCTGTTTGAGACAAGGTTGAAGTTTTGTAAAATTGACATCAAAATTTGAGCCTTTAGAGCTTCAAGTTAAAATAGCTAATGACCTAGAAGTACTTTTGTTTGGTTGGTTTTGTTTAAGTGTCTATGCTAGAGGGGTGTCTTCTTGATTCGTATAAATGAAAAATATTCAAAATTAGGGCTTTCATCAGACTTAAACAAATACTTAATTGTTTGGGTAGATAGTCTGTTGTCTGCAGGGGGGACTGCTTAGGGCAGACTAAGGTTGTAACCTTAACTTGGAGGAAGTGTGTAAAAAAATGTTCAGTTTTAGGACAGAAGGCTGTATGTTTACTAATTTTTAAAATAAACCCCAATCTTTTACTAGCTTTAGATAGTTGTCACTTCAGAACAAAACTGTTTTAGTTTTAGGAATGAAAAGATATTTAAACTCCCAGTCACTAGGAAAATATATTTTGAAAAGTCATATGTAACAGAACGTAGGGGATTGCTTCCCCTTCTTCCCCCCTGCCCCTCACTTCATTCTGAGTTAAGAGCGTTCATTTACTTCAGAATGGAGTATTATCTGCTGGAAGAAAGCTTGGACAGAACATGTTTATTATCTGAAAATAATAAAACATTTAATAAGAAGATACTGGCAAATCAAACTTTTATTTGAGTTTGTTGTGCTTCCGGTAAGAATAGTAATGAAACCCTGGATGTACCTTTTTCAACAGAAAGGAACACTTTAAAGGTGTGGTGGTGGTTTTTTTTTTTGTTTATTTTTTTTTTGCTTTTAGTAGAAGCTATGGTTGTTTGCTGATGGTTCTCCCTTTTTTCTTTTTCTTTCTTTTCCTTCTTTTTTTCCTCTTTCCTTCCTTTCTTTCCTTTTCTTCCATCTTTCTCCCCCCTCTTCCCTCCTTCCACCCTGAAACTGATTCCTGTTGGTAAAATAGCAACAATTCATTGCATTGTTAGTTATGGATTGATTTATTTTCAGATCTCGATTGAGAATGATTACCTAGGCCCCAGAAGAATTGAGAGTCTGCAAAAAGAAGATGCCGACTGGCAGAAAAAAGCCCACATGGCTGTGCTTTCTATTCAAGATCTTACCGTTAAATACTTTGAAATAACAGCAAAAGCACAAAAAGGTAGTTATTTTCTGCTATCCTATACTTCAAATAAGAGATCTTTAAGAATGGATTTAATGTTTACCATGTTCTGTATTGTCATATGTGATTCCTTGCCCCCCCGTTCCTCCCTGAGGAAAATGCAATCGTCATTGCCCATTCGTGTTTTACTGTATGTCTGTTGAATCTTTCACAAATGACCCTTTCCAGAACATCACCAGAAGCAGACAGAATAGAATTTTTTAAATAAAATTTCCAACGACCTTCTCGGTGTGATTATATTAGCTGCTCTGTTCATCCGCAAAGGATTTATGAACCATAGAGTCCCTAACGGATCCTGTCCTCTGTACTGGATGTGGCAGACCACCATAGCAAGCGTGTTCATTACTCTTTCATCTCATTTCCTTTTCCTGTCCCCCCTGCCTTTCAGTAAATTTTTTCATAGCACTAAATATTAAACAGCAACTCGGTTTATCTACCCAGTGAAAATTGCTCTGTTGTTTAGAAGTCTTCATGGCTGTAAGCTTTGACATTTCTTCTATACTTGAAGAATGCAGCAGTTTTACTGAAGAGTTGTTCCAGTTAAACCAGGGCATGAGACTTGCATGTATATCGGCGCTCTTTTGCTCATATCATTTTAACTTAAATTGTGAGTTAATTAGGGCAAACAAACCTGACCTGAGGATGTCACTTCACGTTACTTATTTCAGTTTGACTGTGGGCTACCACTGAAAGAGTTTGTGTCCCACTCTTCCCTGCCTGACTGCAGGTTCCTGTCTTTCTTTGCATTGGTAATAGTGATTCTGCAACCAGATGAATGAGCTGTGCTCCTGGAAGAAAATCTTTGTTGGTGGATAGTTTTCCTGTCATCTCCCTGTATGATTGCTAGATCTGTCTCAAGAGAAACAGTCAGTGCAAAACGAATCCTTCAGTGACAACCCAAATTAAGAATAACACGAAACTGCACCTTATTTTGGAAAAATGGCTAAACCAGTTCAAGCATGTTGGAATCAATTTAATTTTATTTTAAATACTTAATTTTAAATGTTTTTAATTAAATTGGTTCCTTTTCTTACATAATGAAGACACCAAGTAAAAAAACCCTATTAGTTGGTAAAGAATGTATTTTTACTGTTACTTACTTTCATTTTGTTCACATACTGCTTGTACAGGGATTTTTTTATGTCAGGATTGTTGGGGAAAACATTGGGAAATGAAATGCCTGGAGACTTATTGACAACCATAGACCTTTGGTGCACAGGTTGCCTGCCTTTTTTGTTTGTTTGGCTTTTTGGCCTCCTGCTAGTCTATCACAGTGAGGTCTTACATATCAAAATAACAACAGGCGGCAGAAGGAGAAAAACAGACGAGAAGAGTGGTGTGGGTTTTTTTTTTTTTTTTTGGAGTTACCTAATAATAGCATATAATATCTTCTAACACTTAGGGACTGGATGCTGCACCGTTTGATTATGTGACTTTCATGGCTTTTGCTTTGCAAAGCTAAGTATACAGCATCATGTGATTGCTCTGAATAGTAAAAATGGCAAAAATCTTGTGTGTGTCAGCCTAGGTGTTGTCTGGGGCTCAAGAAAAGCAAATCTGAATCAGGCAAAGGACTGCTGCTACTCAGAAGTCTTCCTGGTGAAATTCTGATTCATCTCTGCATAATAAGGCCTTATTGTACTTTGTTTAGTTAATTTGAATTAATACTGTGAAGAAACCTGCTTTTGAATTAAAAAATAGATGTTTTTGTTGTTTAAATTTAAATTCGATTCAGTATTTTTATAGTATTCAACTTGCAGTCTATCTGAAGTTTTTGCTTTAAATAGTAATTCTCATTTCACTCTATTGCAGATTTGTATTAAACTTATGAATGCACCATAGAAGTTGTGAAGGGAAACTGGAGACTAGTAGCTGTTAATTGGGGCTTTCAGAAGCAAGGGAAATCTGGGATGCAGTTTAAGAACACATGGTTGCATTAATTGGGTATTTTTATTAAGTCAAGAGTTTTTGATCTCTGGTTCTGCACAAGTACTCAGAATGTTTCCTCTGTGGGTTTAAAAAAAAAAAAAAATATATATAATGGATAGTCAACAAATAGCTAATTATCTGTTTACAAGAATCCCAGCAGTATTTACATCTTGGATATGAAGGCTAATAGTCTGTCAAATGACTGTTTTTGCTAAGAGGACTTTGTATGTTTTGGATACAGATGTGTGCATAGTCTTACAGTAGGATCACTGCTCATCTGAAAAGTAAACTGCTAAGCTGACCTTTTTTTCTCCCGTTTTGTAGCTGTGTACGATCGAATGCGAGCAGACCAGAAAAAGTTTGGTAAGGCAGCATGGGCAGCAGCAGTGGAACGTATGGAAAAGCTTCAGTATGCCGTTTCTAAGGAGACTTTGCAGTTGATGCGTGCTAAAGAAATCTGTTTGGAGCAGAAGAAACATGCACTGAAAGAGGAGGTAATTTTTCATTCCAATAAATAGAAAAATAAAACATGCAGAAGAAAATGAACCTTATAGAGAAGGATTCAGGGTTGATGTACTTTGGGGAAAAAAAAAGACTTGTCAATATTTTCCAGCTTTTTACAATCAAAACCTTCTCCCCCCCCCAGTCCCTACATTCTATCATGTTAGGCAAATACAGTTGCATGGCATTTTTTGTGCCACTTCTGTATGTTTTCCTTTCACCTTTTCCTGATTAATCTACTTACTAATAAAACCCAAAGGCATTTTAGTATCTTCTTGAGATACCTTTTTGTATGTTAACTACTGTTGCATTTTTTACTGTTAATTTTTACAACTATCCACTGAGACGAATAAAAAGGGGAGAAAGAATGGGAATAGAAATCTGCTATGTAACCTCCACACTTTAGCTCTCAGAGGCCTAAACATCTTTTTGAAGTAATTTTTACGTTCCAGATGGAAGGTATCTGAACATTAGTAAATATACAGACAAGGAGTAGCCTCTTATCCTGCATTCCCTTTCTCTGCTTATCCTAACTATTAAGGCAATGTTCCGAAGAGGGTGGTGCTAGCAGCAGTTTTCCCGAGGACAGAGACACCATACATTAAACTGTGTTTAAATGTCTTGACAGAAAAAAAAAAAAAAAAAACATACTGGATTTTATGACATCTACTCTGAAGCAAAAATATTTCACTCCCTCTTTTAAAATTCTTTATCTTATGGATATTCTATGCTAAGAACTTTGTTATCATACCAGTATTATTTTACATCTTATCCGTACAGTTACTTGTTTTTAGAGTGCTTTTCAAATGCCTGTCAGTCAGCAGAATGTCACTGAACTGGTGGCTCCTTTATGAAAAGATTATGCAGAGAACTCAAGACTTTAACATGGTCTAGATTGGTAGATTTGTAAGCCTGATAGAACTACGTGCTGAGTTTAGAGCTTCCGTAGAAGTTCAAGTGTTCTTGCTTCTGTAGTTTTCATTTAGTATATTAATCAAATACTTTTTGTTTCCTGGAAAGTGTTCGCATTATAAATATCTAGAATGCTACCACATTTTCTGAGTTACCATGATATGCAAATCATCTGCCTCTTTCTAACCTAAGCAGTAATAAAAAGGAATTTCACTATGTATAATACTTTGAGAAGACGTCTATGAATAATTGCATCTGCAGAAACAGCATCTTCTGATTTTGATTTCAATACAGAATTCTCCAAGTACTTGTGAAAACACTTGTTAGTTTAGCTGGAAAAGATAGAGATTAGCATAAAAATTGCAAAGTCAGTGATGCCTACATATATTGCAGGTTAAGAGCAAGCTGTGTTGGAAGGAAAACTATAGAATCGGAGTGAAGTAAGTTTGTTAGCATAGTTCCTCAAGAGTCAATCTCTGAATTGATCTCGTTCATGTTTATTAGTGATGTTGTCACAATAAAGGTAGAATCTGATGAGGACAAAGTTGAGAGACTTCTTTATAATAAAGAATTGAAATATCGCATCATACTGGAAGAACTGGCTAATCCTAGAGACTAACATCGTAGAAACAAAATGAAGTTACAAATTGTAAAGTGCAGTATTTGACAACTATAATTAAACAAATAGTTTATGCTGTTATATATGGATTCATTAGTTAGAAATAATAAAGCAGTGGAACTATCTGGAGGTGTTACGTGAATACAGAGCGATCATGTACATATATGTGCTATACCCTATAGTAGTAGCTAGAGATACCTGAGTTAACTCTACAGTTGCCTGCTCTGATAGTGGAAATGACAGTCAAATTGCCATGGCACTGCTCAAAATAATTAATAATTTCTGAGGATTTTTCAGACCAATTACAGCCCTTTATTCTTCTGCCAGCGCTGGTCTTTGGCTTAAATAGCTCTTCTTCCTGCTGGCCTTTATTTTCTCTGATTTATTTATAGAAAAGTCCTGTGCCTGGTCAGCTTTCATTTTGTTGGAGAAAGCAAACCAAGATAGGCTCTGTATTCACCTGATTGTCCTGGTAACCCTTCTCCGTAGCTCCTCCGCTTCCCACTTGTCTCTTCAATAGCGGTTACCAAAATTACATGCATTATTCCAGAAGAAAAGCTAGTGCCATGTGCAATAGTAACAATACGTCTCTGTCTGCTGAATGTACCTCTTGGATTAAACCTTAAGGAGCCATACTGGATACCACGTAGCCCTTGCCTCTAGTTAGGTCTAGAGACACATACCACTGCCTATTCCTCATCATTACACCTATATAGCAAGCATTTGTTGCATTGTGAAGGTTTGGGTTCAAGATTTCCCAAAGCCATCTCTCTCTTGCTAGACCACTGTAGCCTTTCCTCTGCTTTGTGAGCCTGTTAGGTACAGCTGAGACTCGATCTGCCAACTAGCTGAACCACATGCATAGTCGTCTGGGATACGTGGTCATTTTGTTTAGAGGGAGTGCGTATTTGTGAAGTGAAAGAAACCCTGCTAGAAGGTAATGTGCAAAATGTTGTTAGAGGATTATATAGATTATGAAATTATTTACTTGGAATTGCCAGTAGCTTATGGGAAGAATAGCTAGTCTACTGCTATTTGATTCTTTTGAATCTTTGTGGATGTTATGTAGTGGGTAAAACGTCATAAAACGGTGGGAGGTGGCAATTGAATTTTAAGAACAGAGTCCTCCTTCTAGTATTTCACTTAATTTTTTTACCATTGTAACAAATTCTGCTTAAAAAATAAACCAAGTACAAATATGTGCTTTTTTCATATATAGATTGTTGAAAGACTACTCCAGTTGCATGTCAAAAACCGCTTTAAAAAAACCTGGCCAAGTGAATGATAATGTATTAAATTTTAATAAAAGGCCAATTTTAATGTCTAATTTTCCTCGATAAATCAAGATCTTATATTTTACAACTGATGCACCTCCATATACAGAGGGAAAATAATAAAAATTACAGTGCAATAAAGGATTTAAGCAACTGAGGTACAGTAGGAGGAGCTGCCCTAGTTGTGAACTAGGACATGTAACTCTGCAGATGTAGATGCTTGGAATCTGTGAAGTTTGAATTGAAGATTACGTTAATTGTAATCTTTTTTTTTTAATTGAGAGCTGAAACTGTTAGCTGTATTATTATCTATATTTAAAAGAAAAAGAGGAGACTCTTAATCACAAACTACATATTGAGCTTTATTATTTTCCTGATTTGTACCTCTTAAATTCCATCTGTTGTTGTCCTGAGTTTTGTTTGAAGGGAACAATGAAAACTTTCCTTTTGAGGTAGACCAGAGTCTATTTTTGTGAGCTGGTTGCCAAGTCTTGTCCTTGTGACAGTAAACAGAAACATTAAATCACAGTGAGAGCTCTTTTGTAGTTCTCTAAGTATGTAAAATAGTTTGGACAAATGGAAGTGAATGACTGGACACTTAAATTCCAACAAGTCTGCCTTCTTGCAGACACAGGCTTCAGTAAGTAGTGTTCTCTTTTTGCCTTTAAAAGTGGACAGTTCTAAAGATTCAACTTTAAGTTTTATTTTAAACAGTAAATGTTCTGTGATATTGTAAACAAAATCATTTTCCATCAAAGTACTGTTTGTTTGGGTTTTTTTGAAGGTTTTTTTTTTTTGGTAATTCATAATTCTAAGAGTACTGTCCTTCTTGCCATATATTAAGCATGGTCAGTCAAAGATATGCTTGCTTCCAATGACTTTGAGGATGTAAGCACTTCCTGGAGTTCACGACTGTCACTTAACTTTTGCCTGACTTGGAAGCATCAGCAAAAATAGGAATTTTATTAAGAATTCTATTCGAAAGGCATGGTTAGCTATCTCCAGAAAATTGATCTGTAAGAAATGAATAGTGATTTTTGGTAAAGATACAATATAACGGTTTTCAGAAAAGTGTTTCACCATGGTAGCTTTCCCTGTATCTTTTCGTAACTCTATTCATTTTGTACAGCTTTTAGTTTTGGATAGCTTTTTGTAAAGGCCAACTAACAAAGTAACTTTCAAATTTAAAATAATTTGAATTTGAGTAATTGAAATACTAGCTTGATAATAGTACCTGCTGCGTTCTGGGTAACACTGAGATCTGTCTGTGGTCGCCCAAATTTGGAAATCTTTGAAGATTTATTTAAAAGTATTTGAATTGCTTTTTTTTTTTTTAAAAACAGTTTAGGAATGTTTTTGCCTTCTGCACTTCCAGTGCTCAAATTGGGAAACTAAAATTCGCAGTAAAAATCACCATTTTGTTTTCTTTCCTTTAATGGTTATTATTGTTTAAAAACAAAAACCAACAATAAACAAAGTTCTAAGCACCTCAAGTGAAAGGTGAGGTGCATTCTATAGACAAAACTTGTGGTGATAGCTAGGCTTCTAATAATGCAATGAGAAACTATTAGAAAATTACTCATTAATAATGATAACCTAGTTTGGTTTTAATAGCTAAATTCCAGATAACTTCTTTTGAAATTGCATGGTTAGATCTTAATTTACTTTTTTACTTTCTTTCCCGGATAACGACTGGGTAATTTATTGCTAAAGATTAGGAAGAAAGGTAAAACCCAGCATTTGAAGAGGCTTTTTTGTTTGAATGACTTTGTGCATCACTGAGGTTTAATTCCCATTTAATCAGAGAAAGAGAAAGATTAGGTAGTTATGATCACTTAGAAGCAACTCACTATAGGTTAAAAAATCAAAATGAAAATATTTTCTCAAGGCAAACCATTTAGCTACTTTTTTTTCTAGGGATAGGAAGATAAAAGTTGAGTATTCCTCTAAAAAGATTAAAGTACTGGAAAATTAATAGGAGAGGCTTCAGTTGAAAAAGAATAGAAAAATGACAATTCAGAGCAAAGACACGATGTTACTATTAGATATTTATGAGAACACTGCTGGTGTTCAACAGGTTGTCTACATGTTTTTGAATATTTATTCTTGGAAAACAGAAAGAGTTTATTATAATAGTGCTAAACTTTCATCATGGGGGAAAACATGCTTCTTTCAGTGGCTGGAATTTTTTATAGCCCAGCACACAAATTATGAGTGATCATCTTAACTTCATTTTCTGTGGTAATTTATCGTGTAATATCATGACCTGACTGTAATTGACTCTTGGTACTTAGTTGGATGGAGGAGTACTTGCGCTCTGCAGGTTGCTAGACAGGGGTTGGAATTTGCCTATCATCATTGGCAGGGTGCTTCTTGCTTCCCATAAAATCATTTAAAAATTCTTTAAAATGATTTTCTACCGTTTTTGAGGATGCACATCTGTATTTTCACTTCAAGGCTCGAGCTTTCTTCTGATTTTTTTTTTTACTCAACCTTCTGAGATTTCGTAGACAGTAACAGTGATGAATTAAAGTGAATGTTTGAATTAGAGAACAGTCAGTATTCACGAGGTGGATTATATTTATATTTTATCTGAACAGTAGCAGATGACTTAAAAGACTGGATAATAGGAAGTTTAATAATAGCTATTAATATTTAATGCAAAGGATGAGTAATAGGAATTTTTACCGTGGACTGCAGGTTAGTCAGTTTGTAAATGACAGCAAATGAGAATGACCATAGTTTTTTTCAGTTGGTAGCAATGTGATTGAGCCACCAGAGCAACAGGGGGTGGTAGAGCAGCCAGAGCAAACCAGATGTTTACGGGAAAGGGAGAAGTATTAGTGTCACTGTGCAGGGCACTTGCAAGATATTCTTCCACACCTTTTTGGTCACCCTAGAAAGATTAGTTGTAACTGGGACAGGTGCAGAGAAGGGCTACTGTGATGATCCCGGTAACCAGGAGTTTATTTAAAAAAAAACAAACAAAAAAAAAAAACAAGAAGAGAGGATAACAGAAGAGTTGGTGCTGGCAGGGACCTCTGGGGATCATCTGGGCCAACCAGCTGGAGCAGGTTGCCCAGCAGTTAAGGTTGTTTGGGCAAGTAAAATGAAGGCTAAGATGATACACAGTTAATCTCCACAAATATGCTAATGGGAATAAATATAAGAAGAGCTATGTGTGTTGTTGCTGAGCATTGGCACAAGAACAAAGTGAATTATCTGATTGTGAATACATTTGGAAATATGGAAGAAAACTTCTGGCAGTTAGGAGTGAGGATCCGGAAGCCTTCCAACAGGAATAACAAACTTTGTGTTTAGTGCAAGCTTAATGTTTTAGTTTTGTTTTTTACAAAACCAGCACAACAATAACACCATGGAAATGATTTTTAAAAATTGAGTTTGTGAAATCAATTAATTTTAGTTAGGTTGTTTGAAAGTGTTCTGTGATGGTGGAAAGCTGGATTTGGATAACCCTTGGTTCTGTGTTCCGTGTTTCTCTATTTTTCTATTAACTCTGTCATCAGTTCTCTTAGTATGTGTGTTTATAGTTCGTCACAGGCTTTCTGTGTTAATCCGTGTATCTACCTTACCTTTGTTTTGGCTTACAGGTGGTATTTTTTGCCATTGAATTGTTAGGAAAGCTAAGCTGCTGTTGAAGTTCTTTGCTTAATATGAATGAGGTAACAAAGACCTTAAACACTGTTAGCTAAATTAAGGCTAGAGAGATTAAATTATTTGCTTGAGTTAATGCAGGAAGTTGAGACACAGCAGGAAATTGAACTCGGATCTCCTAACTTCTAGTTCTTTATCCAACTGCAAAGTGTTTCTTTCCTGAGATTACATTCTCCCTTTATAAGTTCTCCATGCTTCTTTCGCTGTGTTGACCAGTCTGAGATTTTTCTACATTCATATCTGTCCTATCAAGAATGCAGTGAGTTACTAGCACAGATTAGATAGCAACTTTTTTCTTTTTTTTTTTTTTCCTTTTTCATGAGGGGCTATTATATGGTTAGGATATCTGGCTGATGGCCATGTAGCAGAATTAATTTCCCATTGCTGTTGCACCTGAACTGAATACGCTGTTGTTGTACCCCTAAAAAAGACCAGGTGGCTGGCAGCATCATGCCTGCAGGGCTTTCTACACTTCTGTTGTCGGACAGCTCCTTTATCCAGCAGACAGATGCTGGTGCTGCTGAAAGAAATTTTGAGCTACTGTAACTTGATTAGTTGATACTTTTAAACAAGTCCAGTTTACAGCTCTACACAGTCTATATACAAAATCTGTGGACTTAAATTTGGGAACATCTTGTTTAAAGAAAAAATGCGTACTTGTTCAAATCTGGGGGAACTTCACAGCTGACTGAGAAAACACAGGTTCTTGATTGTGGTAGAAGGTTGAATGACATTGAATTAATTTGCTGAAAAAAATCTTTTTTCCTACGGTATATCTTTTTACAATGAGAAAATTCTTTAAAAATGCCAAATACTTGGATTCCCTGCCTGACAAATTAACGTTGTACCTCTTTTATGGAGGAAATTTAAAAAAAAAAAAAAAAAAAAAAGGAAGGTTTAAGAGAATCAGTCCTTTTATCCTGAAAACTAGCCTCTGATTTGCTGCAAGTATGCCATCATTATGTCACTTTCTATTTTGATCACAACTAGTAACTTAGTAAGGATGCAGAGTAGTAGACTGACATAACAGTAAGTCTTGGTGTCATTGTGAACTGAAACATATAAATTATATATTATTGATTGTAAGATTTATGATATTCACTTAAGAACTTACTGATCCTTTCAGGCTGATAACTGATTCAATAAATATGCCATGAAGTAGAAGAAATTTTAAAAATGGAACTTAGAAGAATTGATTTACAGGTCCTCCATCTCTCAGTCTTACATGGAAAGGAGTGTAGTTCAGAGAACTGTTTCCTTAGTATGTAATTATGCTGTGAAATCCCTGTCGATGGATAATGATGCAGATGCTAAAAGCTTTCATGCCATCAAAAAGGGGTTGGATAAATTCATGTAGTAACATGTAAGACTACTTAATATAAAAGGCAGCACTGTGGCTTATGAAGTCTTGAGCTGCAAGTTGTGGTAGAGAATGGGGAAGCGTTTTAGAGAGATATCACTGCACTGCCTGCAATGTTTTGTCTTCCTAGAAATTTGCTGTTATCCTTTGTCTTAAACAGGATATTGAGTAAGATTAATCTTTGGTCTGATTCAGCAGAGATAATTTTCGGTTTTAATATAGTTATGTTTAAGCATTCATGATTTAAAAAAAAAAAAACCCTAGGAAGCCCATTTCTGGCATAATTACAGATATGGTTTTACTCTTTGAAGAAACTACCGTAATGTAAAAATCTATTAGCAAATATTTTAAAAAATATATAGTTAACTAGGTACTTTATTTTTCCTTGGTAGACTTCCCTTTCTAATGATTGAATGTCTGTAATAGAGAAACTGGATCTCCTTTAATCAGAACGATAAGGTAGATCAAAAATCTTATTCAAATTTAAAATTACTTTCATCCTTCATGTGGGAGAAAGTGAGAGATTTATTTTTTGAGAAGGGAGAGAGAATATGCACGTGGCCGTCTTTTCCTGCTAGGAGGTCTTAGGGAAGCATAGCTCTGAATTCCCTCCAAAGTGAGACAACACATAAGATCCCCTTTTGTATCTGTATTTCTTGAATATTGTCTGAATTTCCAACTGGCCTTAGCAGCTAGATCTTGTTTGACTGAAATGCGTGCCTGCCTTTGGGAAGGAGAAAGATTTGAGTTCAGTTTCGTGGTTTCTTGTGTCACTTTTTTGTGTCAAACCTATGACACAAATAAGTGCTAGAATATATATAAATGTTTTAATGTAGATCTCTTTTCACTTATTAAAAAAAACTCCGGAAACAGAGACTTTGAAATTTCATACATTCTGATTATCCAGAACTTGAATTTTCGGAGTATTGTTCCTTTCAAGCTGCAATTCTGGAGTTATGAGATTTTTTGGAGGAAAAAAATGAAAAAAAAAAAAGTATAAAAGCCTATGGCTAGGCAGATGTTCTGCTTTGTTATGCCTATATCCTATACCTATACAATATAGACATATAAAATACGATAAAAAGCATCCATTTATTCCTTCACCCAGACTTTTTTGTTTGTAGAGGAATTCCTCAGTTAAATTATTATCATTTCAAGAGCATCAGTGCATGTAATTTTCCCCGTTCCCACCTTTTTTCACTTTTTCCCCCACAAATTTGGCTTTAGTAACAGTTTTAACTTCAGTATTCTAGGTGCTGTTAGCAGAGCATCTTTTAGACTTTTTGGATACTAATTTCATTTTATTTCTTCAGAGATTCAAGTACTGGAGTGAAAAAGGTTGGTGGGGATATTTCATGCTGTGCTTACTGTATGACTTGACAGTCACAAAGAGTAATCCAATGCCAGGGTTTCTACTACTATCATATGTAGAATACAACAAGTATTAGAGATGTATGAAACTGTGTGGCTGATCAAAAACTGTTTTATGACCTTGTTGTATGTGATTTTACCATGTTATATTTAGTGTACCAGACTGTTATCTAGCTATAGTCATGTTTAAATCTGTGATTTTGTTCTCCTGATATCCTGGAACTGTGTGTTTATTTTCATTTTCTCTTTATATTTAGATGCAAAGTCTGAAGGGTGGCACAGAAGCCATAGCCCATTTGGACAAGTTAGAAGCTGATTATTATGATCTACAGCTTCAATTATATGAAGTGCAGTTTGAGATTTTGAAATGTGAAGAGCTGCTGCTGACAGCACAACTTGAAAGCATCAGAAGGCTGATGTCAGGTGCTTTATGTGTTATAATTAACATGTAATCTGTAAAAGATAATTCTCTTCATAAGATTCCAGTAAAGCCTATGGGAGTGAAATGAGAACAGTTTCTTTACCGTATGAAGAGCTGGATCTTTTAACAGAAGTACTGTTAAATAAAAATCTGCATCAGGTCATATACATACAGATACAGAAGTTTTGGTCTGATTCTCATTGTCTCTTTAGGAATAAGCATATAAGATACTATGTAAGATTTGAAAAACTAAGCTTAGGGAGGAGAAAATGTCTTAATTATTGGACTTGTCTCATTAAAAATTTGCATTGGCACTACTCATGTTCTTGAAGTTATTGATTCTCAGAAGGAATTCCTGCAAATTGGAATCCTTCAGCTATACTTTGAAGCTTGTTGTATTGCTGTCTCACTGGTTGGAGCAGTGATGCAAACCTACGGTTTCAGAAACTATGGTATCATTTGTACTCACAAACTATGGAAATGGTACGGGCAAATCATGCAATGTTTTTGAATCCTATTCTGTCCTTTGGACCTTTCTACACTTAATGCTTTTATTCATATAAGCTCTGTGTTATTGTTTAGTGCACAGTACTTGCATAGAAAATTTTTGTTGTGGTTAGAAAAGTCACTTAAGAGCAGAAATCTGAAACTAGGTTGCATTGTGAGTTGCCTCTGGAGAAGGAGAAAACACAGGCGATATGGAGCCTTCTCTCCCACTCACGGTTGTGTGCATCTCCTCCTTTCACATTTGTGATCTCATGGCAACAACGTTATTTTTATGTAAGGAAGCTGAGGATTGAAAACTTTGTAAGTGGCTTTAAAGAAATGTGGGACCTTTGACCTCATGCCTTTAGGGGCAGCTAGTTAGTGCTTAATAGATAGTTGTTTGCACTTGGGAAACGATGCACATAATTCTGATATTGAAATCACTGTACAGTTTGCTTGCACACAAACTGAAGGAAATCCCTTGAGCAGGAGACTGAGAAGAAAGGAAATGCGTATCAGAATCTTTTCTTGTTGGGGTAGTATTAATAGCAAAACTAAAGGGCCCTCAGAGATTTAGCCTGCTGTAAAAACAGCGCAGGTCGTTATGAGTTGTCATTTATGTTTTCCCCAGAAATCTCAACAAAAAAACCCCCAAAACCCCACAACCCGACCCAAAATGAAATAAAACCCCCATTCAACTAACCAGCCAACCCTCTCCCTCTCCTTCTCTGATGGCAACTTAGTTGTTCACTATTCTGATTTCCTTTGCTGTTTTAAATTTGTAAGGTATTCTTAAAACTAAAAGGATTTTTTTTTTTTTATTAAAGGCAGCTGTTTATATTAGAAGTAATTACTGTTTTTAACAACTCTCAGCTATATCCATAGGACAGAAAATGAAAAATGCCTTTCTTAACTGTGTGGGAATTTTGTTCGAAGGATGAAATTACCTCTTTGGAGTTTACTCAGGCGGGGCAGGATAGAACAGTTGTGAAAAATGTGACATTTAAGTGGCTACCTCCGGTCAAAACTATTCTGTATCTAGTCTGAGTGATGGCATCGCTCA